GGTGAGAGGTTTTTCTTCACGTAACGGTTTAAAATGAGTTTCACGTGCAGGATTTCTTTCAGGCATCTCTCCGACGCCCCCCCCCCCCAGGAAAGTCAAGTGACCCCCTCACCGGAGAAAAATGGATTTTAAAAAAACAGTAGAACGATTAAATAGTTTTAAAATAAAAAAACGACTAAATTTTCACGTTTAAACAGTTTTAAAAAGAATAGTAACTAATTGCCTTTATCCGATCACAGTTAGTGGAATCTATAAAATATCACTACGCTCGATAGATTTGATGATCCGTACATTTAAGACTAATCTTGTTAAAGGCTTACATTATTCCCTTATAAATAGGTAGGAAAAATGAGTGTCATGGTGTTTAAAAAAAAAAAAAAAAAAAAAACATGGCCTCGTCTTTCCATAGGCCATGGAGAAGGTTACCTTAGGGACTTATTTTCAATCTACACAACATTTTTAAGGGAGATTACAGGTGGGATATACCACCCAGTCAAATGAATGTACCCAGGCAAAAAATGGCTGCCTATGATGGCTGTTGTTTTTGTTCTTCTTTTTAATGTATTTACTACCCCTTCCCTTAATTATTACAGCTCAAGGGGAGAGAATAGGTTTTGTGCTCTTGCTCAAAAAAAATTAATGGTGGTTAGCATTAAGTCCCTCTTGTTAAATTAAAATATAAATGTTGTTCTTTTAGAAACTGTGATATATGAATCATAAGCGTGAATGTAATTGTTACATTTTGAGATTATCTTATTTATCCAATATCTAAACGATTTCTCTTGCTTACAATATTATAGGCATTTGCACGCATCTGTGTATTTTTATCAACAATTTTCTTGACACCTCATTAACATAGAGTGTTTTGGTGTGCGTTTGATGCTTATATTAAGCTAATTGTTTCGTTATAAGTCATTACCAGCAAGGCGGATGTTTATAATTTTTATGTTTGTGACATCACTTTTTCAAGAAGTGTCAAGGAAAAAGGGAGGAAGGGAGGGGGGGAGGGTTGAATGTTTATGATTTGTTCAATGAGTGCGTATTTTTTTATGGAGATAAATTGATCTTGGGATTGTTACTAATTACCCCGAGTCTAAACGAAGCTGTTGACCTATTGTTGAATAGCCGGCAGGTAGGGTGCAGGACTATCTGTAGGCCTTTTGTTGAATAGCCGGCAGGTAGGGTGCAGGACTATCTGTAGGCCTATTGGTGAATATCCGGCAGGTAGGGTGCAGGACTATCTGTAGGCCTTTTGTTGAATAGCCGTCAGGTAGGGTGCAGGACTATCTGTAGGCCTATTGGTGAATATCCGGCAGGTAGTGTGCAGGACTATGTGTAGGCCAATTGTTGAATAGCCGTCAAGTAGGGTGCAGGACTATCTGTAGGCGTATTGTTGAATAGCCGGCAGGTAGGGTGCAGGACTATCTGTAGGCGTATTGTTGAATAGCCGGCAGGTAAAGTGCAGGACTATCTGTAGGCGTATTGTTGAATAGCCGGCAGGTAGGGTGCAGGACTATGTGTAGGCCTGTTATTGAATAGCCGTCAGGTAGGGTGCAGGACTATCTGTAGGCCTATTGTTGAATAGCCGTCAGGTAGGGTGCAGGACTATCTGTAGGCGTATTGTTGAATAGCCGGCAGGTAGGGTGCAGGACTATCTGTAAGCGTATTGTTGAATAGCCGGCAGGTAAAGTGCAGGACTATCTGTAGGCGTATTGTTGAATATCCGGCAGGTAGGGTGCAGGACTATCTGTAGGCCTATTGTTGATTAGCCGGCAGGTAGGGTGCAGGACTATCTGTATGCCTATTGTTGATTAGCCGGCAGGTAGGGTGCAGGACTATTTGTAGGCCTATTGTTAAAAGGCCGTCATATTTTATTGAAAAGGACAAGTTCTCTCATTATTGTAACACTTTGACCCGCCGGGTATTTTCTCAAAATCCCCGGACCCGGTGTAAAAAGCTTCCCCTCTTCCGGCTGGTTAAGTCCTATAACTTATTATTGCTAGTCCGTTACACGCGAATAAGACATAGGCCAAGGCCATTTGCGACTAAAGTAGTAGCCTTAATTTTTCGCTGTGTTATGTTTAAAGTGAGGGAGATGTGCTCGATTCATCCTCGCCTATATTACCAAATGGCAATACTTAGTCAAGACGACTGGAAGTAGACCTGGGTGCAGTAGATATCACCTTCCAAGATGACTGGAAATAGATCTGAGTGCAGTAAATATCACCTACAGAGTTTGTCTTATAAGTTTAGATGGGATCTTTCTGCGATCTACATCGCAGATTTGTAAGAATTTTCAATGTCCCCTGTCCCTACCGCCTACAGGACTCCATCTCCGTGTATGATTTTATGGATTATCTTCTCTTAGATGAGTCCAAGGTTAATGAATCCCATCATGATGTTAAAAAGCTGTCAAGAGTTTTTTAAAAAAAAAAAGGGGCCGGGGGGGGGGAT